CACGCAAATCTGCCAGTGTATAGTTGTTGTGTGCGATTTCTTCAACATTGTATGCTGTTGGAGTGTCGATATTGTGTGAGGCGAGTTTTCTTTTTTTTTATTGTCTCTTGTTGAATAAGGGGAATGTAGTAGTAATTAGGCGTTAGGATGAGTGTAGCGGGTTCGGATATCACAGACGACCAGGGAGAGGTGGGAGTCCCCGAAATTACGATGGGGTTCTGCAGACTGATCGGAGGCATGAGACAGCCCTCGTTTAGGGGCGACCCAACGGAGCTGCAGGAATGGATACTGTCGATCCAAAAGAAACAAGTCATATATGGCTTGTCAGACCAGGAGATGGTCCTGCTGGCATACGAAGCAGCGGCCGGCCCAGTGTCCAAATATGTTAGAGGGCTATGTAGGGAGAACCCTGCCCTAACTTGGTCAGAGCTGAAATCTGCCCTGGTCCGACAGTACACCAGTGAGCGCACAGCCATTGAGGCAGTTAGGGAGTTGTTCAGACTTCGGCAGGGAGATAAGGAAGCCATGGAGGATCTGGGAGAGAGAATAGCGGGCCTAGTGGCACTGGCGTTCCCGGAGCTGGCGACTCGAAACAGTGTTCCGAGACAGGCCCTGTTAGCTGACATTTACATGGATGCGTTGAGCGATAGGGAGCTGCGGGGTGACGTCCTGAAGGAAGGACCGAGCACCTTGGCCGCGGCTATTGAAGCAGCTTGCAACAGTGAACGACTTTGGGATAGAATAAGGGGTGGCGTAGCCAGGGACCCCAGGGGGACCAAGATAAGGAAAAAGAAGGAGCAGGTTCGGGCACGGGACCCAGAAGAAGAAGTAGAGGAAAATTGGGAATTGGAGGCAGAGCCGAATAAACGAGAATGGGACTTGCAGTATGGATTCTATAAATCCACGCAAGGCCGGTATGGGCTAGTGTGCTGGACGTGTAAATACGCTGGGCACAGGGCTCGGGATTGTCCAGCCAATTGGGGAGGAGATCCCAGGTCTCTGGGACCCAATTGTACGACCTGTGGCAAATACGGGCACAAGGCTCAGTGGTGTACGGCGGCAGGGGGGGCGTAAATTAGGTATCAAGCGGACTTATGCGCTGTTGCCACCCACCAGGAAAGCAAAGAACCTGGGAAACGCCGCTGGGTCACCCGTGAAGGAGTAGGAGGCAGGGTGGCCCCAGTCCGAGCAAGACCTCTGAAATGTTGAACGTGTGGAGCGGTTGGTCATTTTTCGGCCGATTGTCAGCGGAGAAGATGCTGGCATTGTGGGGGCGCGGGCCACATGAGGCGGACCTACCTCCACAAGGGAAGGAATCCCCCAAGACGAACCAGTCGAGATAGAAATGAACTGGAGGGACAGAGGGGCAGAGCGGAAAGGCGCTATCATCCAAACGCCATCCCAGCCAGAGGGGCCCCCAGACGAGAAATGGGACCTCGAAGAAATAAGGAACACCCGTTGCTGGCCACCACCTCTCGGTGGTCCAGAGGGGAGGCGAATAGAAAGGAATTTGGGAATGGAAGGAAGGCCCATTTGCTAAGAGAGGGTCCAGATTTCAGCTGTAATGTCTTGATGGGAGGCAAGAAGGTTAGGGCCCTGGAGCATCAGTATCACTGGTTAGTTCCAGGACCTATAGACAGTTAGGGAGAAGGCAAATGTTGAGGCCAGTAGATTTATCCATAAGCCAGGCCGATAGCAGCAGAATGTGGATAGAGGGTATAACATGGCTGCCATTTCAATTAGAAAGGACTAGAGGTGTCATAAAGGTATATGTAGCGCCTGACTTGTGTGGCGAGTTGATTCTGGGGAGTGACTGGCTTAAACAGCATAAGGCCCAGATCCGTTTCGACCCAGCCACCCTGACCTTGGACGGGGTAGGGATACGGCTAGGGGAAGACAATTATGAGCATCTACCTGTAGTAGCCCAGGGAGATAAAAGTTGCCCCCTAGAACCACTATGATAATAATGAGAGAGAAATTACAGTATGTAATTCATTAGTGAAAGGATCAAGGACCGTTCCCCTGCTTCTGACTAATTCGGCTAATAAAACCATTAGAATAAAGCGAGGAGAAGAGTTAGCACGGGCTTACCCCGTAAGAGCAGTCGAACAGGTGAGGATAAGAAACGGATATAGGTCCGGGAACAAAACAGAGATTAGTGAATTGAGGGACGAGGACATAACAGTCCTTGAATGTTATAGAAGAGAATTAAGGGGTTTGCTAAGTAGAAACTGGGAGGTAATAGCAATCACAGATAAGGAGCTAGGACAGACAGAGACAGTGATGAGGATAGACACCGGTGACCATCCACCTATCAAGTTAAGGCCATATAGAACCCCAATCCACAAAAGGAAATTAGTAGAGGAAGCAGTGAATGAGATGATGGACTTGGGGATAATTGAGAGTTACAAATCTCCCTGGAGCTTCTCTATAGTAATAGTGGAAAAGAAAGATGGAGGGCACAGGTTTTGTGTGGATTTTCGCCAGCTGAACGCGATTACAAAACCGCTAGCAGTGCCTCTCCCCCTGCTTGATGACATTTTGGCTCTCCCAGGGAAATCTGTTTTTCCACCTTAGATTTGAGATCGGGTTATTGGCAGGTGGCCCTGAACAAGGAGCACCAAGAAAAGACCGCGTTCACCTGTCACATGGGTCTTTTCAATTTTAGGGTTATGCCGTTTGGGTTGGCAAATGCCCCGGGTGTGTTTAGTCAGCTCATGTCCATAGTGTTGAATGGCATGGAGACGTTTGCCATCATATCATGGTATTTTCAAAATCACCTGAGGAGCATTTTGAACACCTGCAGCGGGTGTTCGACCGCCTAACGAGGCATGGCTTGAAGCTGAAGCTGTCAAAATGTCAGTTTCTAAGAGAGGAGACAAAATACCTAGGGTTCGTGATAAATAAAGACCGACCTAGACAAGGTAGAGGTAATAAGGGCTATGCCCGCGTCGAAAACTGTAAGGGAGATTAGGGGCTTTATAGGTATCATAGGATATTATAGGAGGTTCATACCCGCATTTAGTCGGTTGGCGGGTCCTCTGATAGCCCTGACGAAGAAATACGCCAGGTTTAGGTGGACGGAGGATTGCCAGCGTGCATTTGAGTCTTTAAAGGACCAGCTGACTGCTGTGCCCTTGTTAGCGTACCCAGACTTAGGTAAGCCCATGGTGCTGTGCACTGATGCTAATGATAGGTGCATCGGAGCAGTACTCACGCAACCCTGTCCCGATAAGGATAGTCCCGTTCCGGGAGTGCCTGAAGAGGTACCAATCTATTTCCTTTCTCATCGGCTTTCCGAGACCCAACAAAGATGGCCGGTGATAGAGAAGCAGGCGTTCGCCATCCTGTACGCTGTGCAGAAATTGGACTATTATCTGAGTGGGGCAGTATTTACCATTAAGACAGACCAATAGCCACTCAAATACCTGTTAGAGGCAGAGTGGACGAACAAAAAGATCCAACAGTGGGCACTGAAGATAAGTGGGTACAACTGTAAAATAGAGTACCTAGCCGAGAGGGATAACACCTGTGCTGATTTGCTATCGAGGATTCCGAAACAGTTGGAAACGGAGTCCGTCAAGTTAGAGCCAGGTGTGGACGATAAGGCCTTCCAGACTAATGTAATTAACTCACACGGGTTAGAAGGGATACCTAATTGGGAAGATCAGGAGGCGGGTGAAACAGAGACAATTACGGATCCCGACTGGATAGATATTGTTAGACAAAGTCAAGGAGATAGTGACATAACAGCCATGAGGTATAGGGTAAAGGCAGGAAATACCTCCAAATATGTATTGCAGGATGATGTCTTGTATTACCTTTCAGGGAAAGATGAGGAGGTAAGCTTGAAGATGGTGATACCCGAAAAGTTGAGGTCTGAGATCTTAGATCAGTGCCATAGAAAGTTAGGACACGTGGGTATTGACAAGACGTATAGGTTGATAATGAGGAACTACCATTGGCCCAAGTTGTTTAATGATGTTATAGATTATGTAAAGAAATGTGTAACGTGCCAGGTGCAGAGTAGAGGAAGTAGGGCTGCCTCGGTTTTAGAGACAGATATTCTCCACAACCCGTTCCCGAAAATGAGTTTAGACATTTCGGGCCCTTATAGGGAATTGTTACATATTAAGTTTTGTGGATTGGCTGACAGGTTCGCCATACCTGATAAGAAGGCACGAACGGTGTCAGAGATAATACTTGGCGAGATATTTCCCAGGTATGGGGCTCCCGAACAGTTGGTTATGGATAACGGTTCGGAAAATGTAAATCAGGTTATGAGGGAGACGTTGGGAGAACTGAATATCCAATACATAACCACCTCCCCATACCATCCACAGAGTAACGCTAAGGGGGAGGGATTCCATAAGACTCTCGCTGATGTGCTGGCTAAATTAGCAGAGCATAATAGGGAGAATTGGGATCTGTTTTTAACCCAAGCCTTAGCAGCTGTGAGATTCTCGGTGAACGAAACGACCAAGTTTTCTCCTTACTATTTGGCATATGGCCGGGACGTGGTCTTACCCATAGACAACCTATTAAGGCCGAGGAGGAAGTACTTAGGGGAGGACCATCATAGGATAATTTTAAAGCAGCAGCACAAAATCTTTACACAGGTGAGGAGAAGAATTCGAAGAGCCCAGAAAAAGCGAAATGATAGGAGAATAGAGAAGAGGTTTCTTTCCAAATAGGTGACCCGGTATATTATAAAATACACCTGAGAGACGGTAAACTGGACAAGAGGTGGAGCCCCTATTATAGAATAGTGGAACAGACAGGCCCAGTGTCCTTTGTGATATGGGATCAACTGACAGGGAAAGTGAAAAGAATACACGCAAATGACATAAAGTTAGCTGAGATAGAAGACTGGAAAGGGAGCGGCATAGAGACGAAACAGAAAAAAACTGAGGAGGACCACACTGGTGGAACCAGAACCACTAGGAAGTGACAGTGAAGCTAGCGAAGAGGTCGAAATTAGTCCCACTACCCTTCAAAGGCTAAGGGAGGTAACTCGACCTCTGGTCGGACACCCCGAGGAAGAGAATATTAAGCCTAGTGATAGCGGAGAAGAAGACGGATCGAGCAATTGGGATCCTGACGACGAGATTCCGTTAGCTCAATTACGTAATCAATGGCAGACTGAACAAGCGCCTGATAAGAAGGAGGAGTTGCCATTGAGGTTGCGATTGCGAGGAGCAACGCTTTAGAGCAGGCTGATTAAATAGAAAATCTGTGCAGGGGTTGTGTTAGACGAGTGACAGTCTGGGGTCGATTGTGCAGTTGTCATCGGCCACGTAGAAGGGCCCTTGTGCGAACTCGGCGCTGGTGGTGGTGTGGGTTGGTCCTGGGATGTGTCACTCCACAATGCAGCCGTCTGACGGAAAAAATAAACAGATAATTATGTAAGATAGACTGTTCCCTCCGTCTCTTTCAGACATGGACGAGGGAAGGCCCTGGGCGCTGGTGATGCTGATTTTGGCTGCTAATGCCTGGGAGCACAGTGAAAATACCGTGTTTAAGAAGACGAGCGAGGTGATCATAACTAGATCAAAGTGGTTAATCACGTTAGTGATAGATTTACAGCCGTATGAATTGCTACTAGCCCAGTTAAGGGTCGAAGTAGATAAGTTAGAGACAGCCAGGACACAAGTCGCCGGAGAGTAATCACAAGGTCTAAACTACCGCCGGGTGTTGTACTCCTTGACTCAGGAGTCCCTAATACTTGAGAGGCAATGGAAGGAGATGAGCGATTATTTAAAGGGAATTAAGTTGTTGAGGGCAGTGTTACCTATAATAGGTAAGGCATTAGGTGTGTTATTTGGCACGGTGTCTGAAGATGAAATAAGGTTGATCAAGAGGAAGCTGACGCAGGTAGAGCAGAGGCAGCAATCGATGGCCCAGGTAGTTAAGGAAAGCGTATCGATACTTAATGTTACTAGGTTGGAAGTGGCTAAGAACAAAGACTATAATCCCCAACTGTTGTGGGGATTATATTAATTATAGGTATGGTTTCTTTGAGTTGGTGGTGGTGGAAAAAGAGACAAGTGAGAATGTCGAGTGTGGAAGTCGAACTGGCAGAAAGTGGAAGTGCGGAGCGTACTGGGAACCCAATTGGTGCGCTTTACCAAGACCGGCCAAGACAGGCTCGTCCGAGAATGCATTAGAACCTGCAGCCGATGTGGGAGAACAGCCCACAGCTGCCGTGAGAGAATTGGAAACCATAAAAAGTCTAACGAGGCCTGTTGTGAAGACCCGGGCCAGTCGTAAGACAAGGTTGTGAAAAAATAAAAAATAAAAGGGAATAACTAAGTAAAATATGTAGTTGAAAACAAAAATGAGTTTTTGATTTTGAAAAAAAAAAATGATGAGTGTTCAAAAGGAAAAAAAAATCTATATAGATACAATACATATGTAGATACAATATAGATATAATAGATACAATACTATATAGATACAATACATATGTAGATGAATGAAGAGATAAATGTGTTGGTGAAGATCTGGGAGCATCCCAAGTAGTGAACTGGATGAAAATACCAACTGTTGTGAGATCAATGAGAACATATATTCTCATAGTAGCCCAACTTATTTTTATTTTATTTTATTTTTTGCATGTGAAAATCTGAACAATGAACCTTATTACTTATGAAAGCACGACAATGTTCTTTATAAAGACGCTCTGAAAAGAAACAGCAAGGACTCAGAACACTATATCTCGACTTCGTATTTTCTTGTCTGTTCTTGTTCGTGTTGTTATTTCTAGAATTGTTCGCAGTTGAAGTCAGACCGGATCGCCGGAGGACCATGAACTTCCAGGAAGGACAGCTGAACGACCCTGTTTCTATTGTTGTTTATTTTGTGTGACGCCTCATATGTCATTTACTAGTAAATGACAGATGGGTAGGGGAGGAATTGTAACAGAGAGCCCCCCCCCAGGTGGGTCTATTAATCAACGGTTCGAAAGGATTGGGAAGAAGGTACATTAGTTGGGTAGAAGGGATTCCGGAGTAATTCCAGAAATAAGTTTTTCTTTTTACTTAGTTGTTTCTGGGATTGAATTATTAATTAACTATGTCAATTAATTCCAGAGTAATTAATGGACGGGTTCGTTAGGTAAAGCTTGTGATAAATGGTGAATTGGATTTTGGGTGGCCTGCAAGGTGAAATCCAAATAGAACCCTCAGATGAGATAAGTGCTTTTCCGCCGGGCTTAAGTAGACGTTGTCCGCGGAAAACCCAGCAGGGAGTCCGAATCTGATTTTAGTACTTCTTGAAAACTGGGTTCCCGCGTAGCTTCGGAGATCCGGCGGAAAACACATGGTGGTCCAGGCGATTTGCATTCGTGGGCGGTGCCTAAAAACTGTTTAGCTCCGCCTTTCTCTATATAATCGGCCTGCACACTTGAGTTGAGCAGATGAGATCGGAGATCAGATTGGATAGGATCGGAGAACGCGTCGGAACGCGAGAGAAGCGGCAGACGCGGCAGAGAGAGAGAGAGAGAGAGAGAGAGAGAGAGAGAGAGAGAGAGAGAGAGAGAGAGAGAGAGAGAGAGAGAGAGAGAGAGAGAGAGAGAGCGAGAGAGATCGCAGATCAGGGACCGCAGTTCAGAGAACGCGAAGGAAAACGCGAAGGAAACGGCTTAGTGGGTCTTGCTGATCTGGCCAGTTGGCGTCAAAAAGTCCGAATCGTACCCAGAGATAGAAATCGAACCCGTGCGAATCCTGATAACTTCGTCAACAAAGCTAAGAAAAGCCGACTGCTATATCGTACGGGGCGGACGAAGGACCACGACTTATCTCCCTTAGTACAGCCGAATTTCGACCGGCATAATTGTGTCTATCTCTCTGTGTGACGTTCCGACCCAAACGAGTGAATCTCGTTAAGGCAGTTTGTATTCGTGCAATTTCGGTGATATAAAAACAATAGCCTTAAAGGGCTCTTTGTACAGGAACCGAAAGTGTTGCTTATATTTTTTTCTCTCTTTGTGCCCTTGCGGTTACGACAAGAACCTTTCTGCACAAATAGCGATTTCTTTCAGCGTGGAGCCCAGCCCCAACCTACCTCCGGATCGTTCTGAGGGATCGAAATACTGCTGTTCGAATCAAAAATTCACAACGTGGCGGATAGTGGTGGTTCCTTCAGTTCACCGGAGGAGGACAGGGTGGTTTACTTTTCGGCCAGAACCACCGGAGAGACAGGAGAGATCTGTAGCCGGCAGGCTTTCTACGTCAGATGTTTCAAGCAAGTTTGTATCTTGAATCAACTGATTTAGTTCTTAGGTGTTGGCTTGGCTTCGTTCGTCAGTATAACTTGCTATTGATAGGATAGGCGAAGTCGGAGGTCATGGAATCTCTAGGTTAGCTTCTGCGCGGCAACGCTCTGGTTAAGCTCTGACTCTAACTCCAAAACCAGCTCAACTGCGACTGCAATTCAGAACTCTCTGAACGACCTGAGGACTTTCGTTTATATGGGTGACTAAAACCCGGTGCGGGGCCAGACGCAGCCTGGGGTTCTCGGTAAATTTCGATTTCTAACAAGAAATCTCTTTGTTGTCAGGTCAGGAAATTTGATTACTTCCCATTTTTGGAAAATTAATCACTTTCCATTTCGAGTGGGGGGGGGATCTTCGTCGTCCATGAGGGAAAGTCAGAGGACTCTTTATCCCTCACATTGATATCTCATACCAATCCCTTCAGTGGGCGTTAATAACTTCTCCGTCTTTCTCATCCATTCACCTCCGCCTATCACCATTGCTGCCACTCGACAAATGGCATCTCGGCCATGCGGGTGTGACTAAGCTGGCCTCCTTAAAATTATAATCTAGAATTTTTGTTTACAAAAATTCTCCTTTTTCCCATCGGCCAAAATTTTTACGAATTCCATATTGCCAATTAAATTTCTATCATATCTTTTGGCCATCCAGAATTCACTTAGCGAGCACTCTCTACCGACTCCATGAATGTCAATGTTTTCCATCTGGTCCCTTCGTGAAGTTAGATTTATAAAGAAAGATTTATAATGGAATCCTGGCCGAAAGATTTATAATGGAATCCTTGGCTTGTTGAGAAATTAATTTTTTTTATCTCATCAAATCTCAATTCTCAACTCTATTTTCTGTCTCATGCCAAAATTTTACAAACGTCATATTGCTATTCAACGTTTCAGCGACACGTTGATAAGGTAAGTAATAACAATCCTCTCACATATGTCAAGACAATGCCAAAATTTTATAATTGCCACATTGCTTTTCCACGCCGGTGGTCAAGAAAAAAAAATAAACGATATCTTGGAAAGATAATTAACATTGATTCTCCCTGCCTGTATCGGCGATCGTCTCAAGCCAAAATTTTTATGACCGCCATGGTCTGGTCAATATCTTAATATTTGCCTTTCTTCCTATCTCCCTTGGCAAGACATTAATCAACCTGACAAAACCTCACATATGGCTTTTTGCATGGGTTTACTGTCTTTTGTGAAAAGTATCTTTTTCGTAAATAAAATAAAATCTTTTTTTTTAACATCGATCGTGATATCTTTCGGGATAGCTCTTTTTCGCCTTAAGTATTTCCTGTTTTAATTTCTATGGCTATTTAGTTAGCCAATTAACATAGCTAAATAGTGTCACAGTACAATTCTTCTAAAATTTCATATTGAAATCAATGACTAAACAGAAAATGTGAAAATCTGTATCATCTTATCCATTTTTGTTCAGTTTTACATTCAATCGGTAGCATTTGCATTATATTTTTAAAATGTACAATTCTGTTACTATTTCACCATGTTTCTCCGATTTGACAAAAATGGTATAATGTGTAGCATTTTGTTTGGTTATCTACAATTTTAAATAAAAAGTAAAAAAATCTGTAATATTTATAACATATTTTAAAAGATTGACATAAAATGTTAAAAATTGCGGACATTTTTAATATATTTCTGATCTTTTACATAACTAATTGAAAATATGTAACATTTTCAATATCTTTCTTCTTTTTTACTTAAAAATGCATAATTCTGTTACAATTTCATCATATTTCAACCATTTAGCAAAAATGTTATAATCTGTACCATTTTGACACTTTTTCTCTAATAAAAAAAATCTGTAACATGTACAACATATTTTAAAAGTTTGAAATAAAAATGAAAAAAATCGCCGATATTTTTAATATATTTCTAATCATTTACATAACTAATTGGAAATATGTAACATTTTCAACAACTTTCTTTTTTTACATAAAATGTAGAATTCTGTTGCAATTTCAGCATATTTCTCCGATATAACAAAAAAAAAATTCGCAATATGTATCATTGTACAAGTTTTTCCTTAATTTTATAAAAATGTGTAAAAACATCGTTTTCACTTTTAACATATTTTAAAAGTTTTTCACAAAAATTTTAAAATCGACGTTATTTTTAATATATTTCTAAACATTTACATAACTAAGAGAAAATATGTAACATTTTCAACAACTTTTTTACATAAAAATGTTCAGTTCTGTTAGAATTACATCATATTTTTACAATTTAACAAAAAAATGTTTTAACCTGTACTATTTTGAATCTATTTCTAAGCTTTTATATAAAAATTTGAAATATTTGGCATAAAAATGTATAAGTCGCCGATATTTGAAAATTTTTCTAATCTTTTACATAACGAATTGAAAATATGAAACATTTTCAACATCTTTCTTCTTTTTTACATAAAAACGTACAATTCTGTTACAATTTCATCATATTTCAACAATTTAAAAAATTGTTACAATCTGTATCATTTTGGCCGTTTTTCTAGAATTTTATATAAAATGTACAAAAATGGTAACATTTACATCATATTTTAATAGTTTCATATATATATGTACAATTCTTTTACAATTTCTTCATATTTCTCACATATTTCTCAAAAAAATATAAAGATCGCCGATATTTTCCATATATTTCTGTTCTCTTACATAAATAACTTAAAATATAATATCATTTTACTTCTTTTTTTTTAATAATGGAAATGTTGCGTTTCATAGGCAACTCAAAACCCACCCATATAATTGGGTCGACATTTTACTCTTCATACTGTTTTCAATCAGAAACATCGTCAAAGAACTCGGATGAGTCCCATCAGGAATGGTATCTGGCATCTTTTTTATCCTTTCAAGAATTACTAAAATTCTTAGGCTAAAAAAGCAACCACTCAGTTTGGCTCCTGTAAACGACTGAAATTGACTAAATGACTGCCATATTCGTCATTACATGGAATGACGTCACTAAGTGGTCGTCACGTGACTCATGTGTCTTCATCTCCACCAAAGACCAGATGATCGTCTTTTGCATCCATACATGTAAATATATTTTCATACTGAAGGATATAATAAAAATAAGTTTTAGAGTAGGGTGGGAAATGACTTTTGATCTTTGCATTATTTACCAAAGAATGTACTTAATTTTTTTTATCAACCATATTTTTTCACTTGACACAATAACACCTGGAATTACTTAAAAGTTGTATTCTAATCGCTTTTATCAGTACATGGTTCAAGTTGCATCATTTTTGTTTCTATTGGCTGATTTACAAAACTTACTCTTCTGGGGGCTTTGACAGTGTGTGTGTGTGTTGGGGGGTGTTTTCTCGGATGTCAAGATCTCAGACAATCTCAATTTTTTCTTTTTTTATATCATAAGTATTAGGTCATTTCAAATCAAAGTTCAACGCGCTTGCAGAAAGAGCTGAAAAAGTTCACCTACACTAAACAAATAAAAACATTCGTTTGACACACATACAACGTGTACTGGAAAAAGCTTCTTCTAAAAGTAAGTAATGAATCGAAATTTAAAACAAAAATACCATTGTTTTCTAATGATCGCAATTTTGTATATTTTACTAACCTTTCAAACATAATGAAAATACTAAAAAAAGCACAATGAGGGTAAATTACTCAATCACTTATAAAATGAACGATATCATTCAATTGTACGAGAGATTTCTTCCAATTACTTTAGTTTTCACAATAATTTTTACCCCAAAAGTCGAAATGAAATTTGTTTGACAATAAGAAGACTGTCGCGTATCCCGCTGCGTTAAAAATTAACCACATCGTATATCATTTATATTTCGCTCGTATTGTGGAGGTTTGCTGGCATTAGTTTGGATGTGGAAGTCACCAAAATAAGGGTTTATTTGTTTACAGGTAGTTATCTTCGGATAACCTGCTTAATCCAAATATACACCAATTTATGGCCTTTAAAAATGCATGCAAAGATAATTAATTCAAAGATACATATTGCATGTACTAATAAAAATGTATATCTCTGAAAATGTACCTCCAAAAATTCGGTATACCTAAGGTTTAAATGTATTTCTCATAAAGGAAAAATCCTTTACGAAGCTTTCCAACCGCTTCAATTGAAAGCTAAAGGATTAAATTTTCTAATTCCAGAAAAAAAATATTGTGGAATATTTCAAATAGAAATTTGAATGACAGCTGATAGCGCGTTTTGGAGACATTTTTTTTTATTGCTTTGAGCTAGTCATATCAAAGATTAATTGGTTTCATTTGAACCTATCTGTAATGAAAACAGGACAAGAGATTCTGTCTAGTAATCGTTTATTCAATTAAGTATACTACTACTCATCTGACTTGACAGCGGAAGTATACAGCTTTTATAGCTTGGATTATCTAAGAGGAGATAATCCATATTCACAACATTTTCCCCCACCAAATTTCTCACTGATAGGGAAGAAAGTCCCTTAAATGTCCAGGCTCCCTACGAGTTCGCAGTGGCCGCCTCGGCAGTCCATGATTCGTGGTCGGAGTACTCGAACAGGGAGGCTCTTCAGTGCGAGCCTGTCTGTGGGCTCTAAAATACCTTGCTCCGAAATGTTTCCTTCTCAGAGGAGCAGGCCGTTCCGCGTCAGAGTCAGTCTCTGGATGAACACGTTTATTCGGGGCTAGCCCTTCATCTGTCAGGGTTTCAGGTGTTGGCCCATCCGAAGTGTCTGACGGGGCCTCAACGGAGACAGTGTCGTTAGACGGCGTGTCAGAAACAATTTCAGTGCCATGATCTTCCGGAGGGGCTTCAGTGTCAGGGGTAGTTGGTCTGTCCTCAGGGGCTATCCACGGTCCGGGTACGTCTCCGGCCGGTGCTAGGTCCCTGAGAGACACATTAGACTCTCTACCATCTGCATGTCGTACTAGCGCGCACTGAGGGTTCGCCTCTATAAGCTCTACCTCGTCCACCAAGTGTAACGTGCATGTCGTCTCAGAAACACAGTACCGGATCGAGAGAGCCAAGATGGAAGCGAAGCTCCCGCCGAACTCCGTCGCTGAAAAGGTAGAAACCTTTCGTGTGGGGTGGCATTCGTGGCGGTACACAATAGGGAACGAATGGCGTATAATGCGACAGGAAGGAGGTTTTCCCAATTATCAATTGAACATCCGTTATTTGAGGCAGCCAATTGAACGGTCTTCCAAATAATGCCGTTATATCTTTCGCATTGGCCGTTACCCTTAGGGTTGTATGGAGTTGTCCGGCTTATAGCTACTCCTCGTTCCTGTAGAAATTGCCGAAGCTGCTCTGACATGAAAGAAGCCCCTCGGTCCGAATGTATATAGGCAGGGGCTCCAAAGATGGCGAACAGTGAGCAGAGGCATTGTATAATTGCAGCAGCCGATATGTCTGAATAAGGGAAGGCAAAAGGAAACCGTGAATATTCGTCGATAACCGTTAATATATATCTGTTCCTTGTTTTACTTGGTAGCGGTCCTTTAAAATCAAGATTGAGTCTTTCAAACGGTTGTGTTGCTTTTATTAAAACGCCAGTTTTGGGTTTATAAAACCGAGGCTTTATTTCAGCACACGTTCGAATTTGTAATTCTTTTTACCTCCTCCACTGAGAAAGGCAAGTTTCTACACCTCACAGCATGAACCATTCGAGTAATGCCCGGGTGACAGAGATTGTTATGTAGCGTTCGGAGTTCGTCCCCGCTTGATGCCGTACAACATGCTCTTGACAGTGTATCAGCTGTTAAATTCTCCTTGCCAGGTCGGTAGCTGACGTCAAAGGAGAAACAAGATAGTTCAATTCTCCACCTCGCTATTTTTTCATTCTTTATTTTACTTGTAGTCTTAGAATTGAACATAAAAGCAACTGATTTCTGGTCAGTAATAAGTTTAAAGTGGCGTCCGATCAGGTAGTGTCGCCATTTTCTTAATGCCTCGACTATGGCGTAGGCTTCCTTTTCCATTGCGGGGTGTCGTCGTTCAGCTTGTGAGAGGGTCCTTGAAAAAAAGGCTACAGGACGATCAGCTTGTCTCAAAGAAGCAGCAATAGCAGTCTGACGCATCCGTTTCAACAACCAGAGGAATATTTTGGTCTATCGTTGTAATTGCAGATTTCGCAATATCCTTTTTCAGTCCCTCCTCGAGTAGTCTTTTTATCTCAGAGTCAATGAATTTTTTTATTATTATAAGAAAAACGTCTGCTTCTCACTGCTATGGGCTTGCAGTTTTCAGTTAGGTTTTCGATGAGTGACGGGTACTGGATTTTTGCTGTCACCAATCCACAAACTTTCAATGCGGGCATTGAACCGCCAAACGGAATTTCAATCTGTGAGTGTTGCTGCAAAAAATCGTGTCCCAGTATTATTTCGCAACAAAGGTTTTTCATTACGGATAATTTAGTGGTTTTCCCGGTATCGAGCAGGGCATTTGTAGACCTCCCGGTAATTTTCACTTTTACAATAGTTTTTGAAAGGCAGTCGGGAGAGGCGGCTAAAGTTGCACATGTATTTTGACCAGTGGCTTTGTATAGAGTTTTAGAAGACTTGCATACCTTTGAAAAATGACCAAGTTTTCCACATTTATGACAACGAGTGTTTCTGGCAGGGCATGAAACTCGTAGGTGTTTAGATAAGCCGCAAAAATAGCAGGTGTCCCTTTTTAAAGCGGCAGTGACCGATTGTTCTTGAAGCTTCGTCGGACTATCGTCATGAGGGGGGGTAGTAGGAACAGGTGGGTTTAACGCGGTGCCCACGGTGTCTGGCTATAAATAAGAACTAGACTGCTGTATAACACTTTCGAAGATATCGGCTTGCTCGTAAGTGTTCTAAGTGTAAGGGTCTTATTCTCAAGAAGACGTTGTCTTACCTGAGTATTACGTAAGCCGTTAATGAAGGCGTCCAAAATGTGTTGCTCTTGGGCCTCTAATGCCGTCATTGGGCGGAAGTTGCAATCTTTGCTCAGTGTCCGGAGGCTCTTAAGGAATAGTCCAATGTTTCGCCTGATTCTTGTCGGCGAGTCGCAAGTAGGCGTCTAGAAAATATCTCATTTTTGGGCTTTATGTATGTAGCGTTCAGTACATCGATTGCCTCTTCGTAGGTAACGCAATCCGAGATAATTTCGTTGACTGTGTGAGACAAATAGTTGGTTAGGAGTGCACGCTTATTGATGGGACGTCCCGGTCTTTCTGAATGTAGAACCTCGATGAAATTTGTAAATGTCTCCCGCCAATGTTTCCAGAACTTGTCGGCTGAATCGCTTTCTGGATCTGTGGTAAGTCGCTCCGGTCGCATAAATTGTTCCATTCTTAATTGAATAAATTGTAATGAAAACAGGACAATAGATTCTGTCTAGTAATCTTTCTTATTTATTCATACCAGAGGTACAAATTGTGGCACAAGGCCAAAAAGGGGAGGGGTAGAGGCTGGTCAACACTAACTATCTTATACCTAGCTAATCAGATTCACGACCCATTCATACATTACAATTTACTCATTCACCACAAGAACTCATCCATCACCGTTCAATCCTCCATCCACCATAATACCACATCCTCTCCATGGGAACCTACAAAAACGCGCCCCACGCCATAAAAATTTGATGAAGATAGACAATATACATAAAATTCTAATAATGATAAAATGAGAGAGAAGGGGAGATGAACCCAATAATAAACTAAAATCAACACAAAATGCAAACTAAACATAATTGATGTTAGTAGGAACCGTCCAACCCTGAAAACAGAGAGGCCGCTGTATTCTGCCCAGAGGACAGAATCAAGAGGCGCTCTCGCTAAGGAAGTGGGAAAAGGATAAAATATTATGCGGGAATGGGGAAAGTATAAAGCTGACCCAACCGAGAT